GACTCTGTGACCCACATTGGAGCTGATGCCTTTCAAGGTTGCAGCTCTTTGGCAAACTTGACCATCCCAAACTCAGTGACCCACATTGAAATAGGTGCCTTTCAGAATTGCAGCTCCCTGGCAAACTTGACCATCCCAGACTCTGTGACTCACATTGGGGACAGTGCCTTTGCGCAGTGCAGCTCCTTGGTATTGAATATTCCAAATTCAGTGACCCACATTGGCGACGGTGCCTTTGTGGATTGCCACTCTACAGTATGGTGGAGCGGGCCGCATGAAGGTACTGCCAAAAAGGTACGTCGCATCTCTACTTGGTTCCCAAGACTTGCGTCAAATAGGAAAATACCGGAAAATACGTCTGACGTCTGATGTAGGTCCAGTCTGATGCAGGTCCACACCTGCTTCCGGTCCAAGCCCCAGTCTCTGAGCATGTCAGGGTCAGAAGTGCTTCATCCCAAAGCCACGACACGTGCTTCGTGCTTCGTGCTGAGCGCGGTCAAAAAAGGACCGTGCGCCGTGGGTCGGCCGAGATCACAGGGGAGCCTGACGTGTCGCGGTGTCGTTCGTTATGATCTGCACCCGAAACAAAACGAGGGTTGGGTTCGGGGCCCCAAACCCTTGTGAACTAGAGGGTTCAACCCCTTCTAAGGAGGGTCCAAGGATCCTTAGGGCACTAAATATATGACATGTACCTGGACCTTCTTTCGGGGTGTCCCTGATCGTGGAGGGCTGGGGCGAAACCAGCCTGGTGACCCCGAGGTCCAGCCAGGTGCTGGTATATACACGTCTTCCTGGGGTCTGTTGGGAGGGGTATGTCTGAAGTTGTTGGAGACTTGCCTGGAACCGCAGTCCCAACCAGAAACAGCATGGCTGTTCCAATATGGCTTGCTTGAAATCCTTTACATAGGAAATGGTGGTTTGAGGAAGTTCCATCCATTTCTTTCTGCTTGGCACTGGGGTTCCAGCTGGGTGCCCAGTCACGGTGTCCAGGACCGGCGTACCGAAGCGGGAAGCGGAGTCGAGGTCCTCGGAACCGGTCGTCCTGGGGAGGTCGTTCCATCCCACCTAGAGGCTCCGTGAACGACGCTCGACTGGTCCTGAAAAAACGCTAGGCCCTAGGATTCAAACAACCATTGTTTTAATGGTCTTTGCCAAAGAACCATTGTTTTACTAAGGATTTTTACACTACACCACCAGCTCAACCGTTCTTTTAATGGTCTTTGAAGGCTAGGGTAGGGATTGGTGAGAAACCCCAGACCCCTGACCAGTTCGGATGACCGGGTCCGACCCTTCCATAGGTTCGAGCCCGAACGGGTCGCGTCTGGGCAGGTGATCCAGGCAGTTCCCACGACGTCGCTCGCTGGGAGTTTGGTTCGATGACCAGCGAACGCTCCCTTCGACCGGTTTCCGTTTCGGGCCCCTGGTTCCTGATATATACCAGGACCGACACCAGTCGAGGTGTCTATCAACAGCCTCGTTTTACGTGGTGATGACCGGGGTGCGCTTCCAACCACCGGACTTGGTGGAAGGTCCTGGTATATAGTCCCTAGAAGTCGAACTTCCGAACCACCATTGTTTTAATAGCCTGAATCCGGAACAACCCGTGTTTTACGGTTTTACACTACAACACCAGCTCAACCATTTTTTAAATGGTCGACTTGACTTCCAGGGGGTATATCGTGGTTTGCCTGGGATCCACTGGGCATTGTATACTCTACGCGTTCGAAGTGCAGTAACCCCGACTGTCGCGACAGAGCGGACCCTCGAGGGGTGACAAAGGCCGGCTCTGAAACCCCGGTTTGGTTCGGGACCAGGGTCCAGGGCTGTGAAGGAACGGCTTTTTGGGGGAAGACGAGATGAAGTCTCGTCGTTCTCGGCGTGACGCAACCGAAGAGTCAGAGGCATCCGTTCGCACGGTCCGGGCATCGCACCCGAAAAGATGCACGACGCCGCGTGAGACCAAGGTGTCCCGTGCACGAAAGAGACCAAGAGAGGTGGACGAACAGCCGTGTTTAGCTCGCCCATCCCATACCCAAACACTCCATGTATGCCATATATGCTTACATTGGGGTGGTTTTGGGGGTCAATGTAGGCATATATGGCATACATGGAGTGTCTGGGATATATATGTACCACAGACCGATCCCAGGGTCCGAACGTTCAGCGGTCTCCTCGAAAAACCTCTCTTGGTAGCATGGTCACTTTGCCACTCGTGTTAACAATATAGTTCTGAAATGGGACGTATTTCTCCATATTTCTCCATATCCTTCCCCAGCTTTTTCCTGCAACTGTTCCGTCCCCACCGGGCTTTTCGGAGCATGAAAACCCAAACTTGTGGGGATTCATCGATGGACTATAGTGCCTTCACATATCTTCACATCCTTCGGTGAATGATGCTGCAGTGGACGCCACACGCTGTTCCATCCACACTGACTGTTTGTTTTTTTTGGGGGGTCCCATCACCAAAGACTTTATATGTGTTGCACCACTGAATACAGGTTCAGGTGATTCCTTTTCAGGTCACGTAACGACTCTTCTCTTTAGCTGGTCTTGGACTCCTTCTGCACAACGGCCGCATCAATTGGAATCCGACACGCAGGTGCAAAGGGGGACACATGCGTGCGTTGAGCAAAACCAGCAACGACCTGACAAAACCAGCAACGACCGCACAGGATAGAACGAAGAAGGTCGACGGTCGACCACGCACGGTGGAATTTCCAAGGATCCCCCTCCACCTCGTCCGGCCCCACGGTCGATTCTCGTGGCGTTTTCAACACGAATTCGTGCTACAATCCAGGAGTCACATGCAGTTGAACTGGTGTTTGGTCCCATCCAGTGAGTGGAGTAGCTGGGCACCCCTAACTCCTAACCTCTATTAAGCACCCTTTTGAAACTCTTGGTTAATATTGTCCTTTTGGACTTGGAGAAAATGTCCCTCCATGTCCTTCGCCAGTTCTTTCCTGCAACTGCTCCCAACACTCGTGTGGGAGAAAAAGACACATGACCACAGGTGCTGGTGGTGGTCTTCTTGCAGTGTCACTACCTGCAGAGGCAGTTGCCGCTTCCTCAGCAGCTTCACCGTTGGTGGACCCTGGGGCCGGGTTTCTATCGGAGCGTCAACCAGCGAACCAGTTTCGAGCCATGTTCACACAGTCCGAGTGGAAGGGACCCCCAGGACCCCCTCAGGATTGGTTTTTGGGACATCCGACAGATTCTATGGAATTGGAAGGATGTCATCAAGGTCTGGGAGAATTCATGGAATCCGCAAAGCACATGTTCTTTAACGTTTTGACACTACACCACCAGGTCGTCCCCATTCTTTTCAAGGCTAGGGCTACGAATCCTGGTGTCGCCCTCCTGTCATCGGATCCAAAACATCCCAAAACACAGAAGCATTCGAAGCATTCGATCTCGAGCCCTGGCTCACCCCGAACAAATGCTCCGATCCGACGTGGCCTTAGGATTCCGCATTCTGCAAGCAGGTCCGGGCAGGTCCCAAGAGGAACAGATCGAACCGTGGCCTTATCAGGAAAGGACACTAGCTGACAGGGACTTCTGTTCGTTCGGTCACGGAAGAAGCTGGAGCTTCCTGGAAACACAGTCCCAACCAGAAGCAGGTGAAAGTGCCAATAATATGGCGCCAGCTTGAGATGCTGTACATTGCAAGTGGTTGTTTGTGGACACATCCAATCAAAACCTGGTTGGGAATGGGTTTCCAGTTTGTTATTTGTTTTGAAGTCCCTAGGGATCCAGTCGTACCGAACGTCAGAAGGTACGACTGGACCCTCCTGGCACCTACACAACAGTGTCTCCAATCACATTCTGAGATGGTACGACTGGATCCATAGGGAGTGGAAACCCAAAGACTCCCGGCATGGGACAGCGCGACGGCATGGGACCGCGTGGGGCGACAGCGGGACGACGACTCGCGGAGGTGCAGAGGACAGAGTGAGCGACTTTGTTGAACATGGTCTTTAGGTCACCTGGACATATCTTGAGCAGACAGAGCAGGAGAGCTTCTCCAAAGCAGACGAGCAGAGGAGTCGAGATCTTGTGGCAAGAAGTCACCATGAATTGGCCAGTTGTGGGTTTTCGTTGGCTGCGTCCGTGGACCCCTCATAGGCAGAGGTCGCGCCCCCCACGGCAGAAGTCTGGACTCTCAATAAACTGGTCCGGCCCGGATTCTTAGGGCGAAAGACATTTAAAATGGCGCTCTTCCTTTCCAAGAGAGGTTGAGAGACCTTATAGGACCCTGTAGTGGTACATATGGGGTGGGCTTTTTCAGGCTGTTCAACCTCTCTTCCTTCTGGAGGAAGCTGGCAACCCTTTTGTTGCCACAGCATCCCTGCATCCCGGACGACCGTTGCTTCAGTGGGTCAAGAGACTTCATCGCGCTCCCTGTGCCTCGCGCGACCCGGCTCCGCCTGGCTCCATCATGGCTTTCAGAGCTTCGATAGTCACTGGCACCCCGTACGTTTGGTGGTTTAGTAGTGGACCCCCAGGGCCCATCTGTCTAAGGCTGGCATTTCAGGGTGCCAGTGCCACTCTACATCACTTGAACTGCACCGGCGCCTGGCAGCTCTTGAAGAGACCACTCCCAGTGAAATCCACGCGAGTCCGCCCCCAAATCCACGCCACATACCACGTGACCAACGGCCCGTCCACTTGAAAGGCGCCGAAAGGCGCCATCTGCGAGTCCTCCAACGCAAAAGGCCGCAGGTAAACTCTATCCAGCCACTCCGCCAATTCCTTGTGATCGCCCAGCTTCTGGGGTGGAAAAAGAGTCGCGATCATGAAAGGAATGGCCACTCAGAATGAGCCACGCCAATTCCGGCAGCACACGTCGTCGCAAGGACCACACCAAGAGTCGCGACGTCCAGTCGTCCGGCCACGTGGCCGCGTGGCCACGAATGGGACGGCGACCGGCTTCGACATCAGGGGTCTCCCCAGGACCACAACCTGTCTGGGACGAACGACTAGGACTGCCGCCTCAGAATCCAAGAGAGCTTGAGAGACCTCTTCACGTTCGGACTCTGGTCTATGGTACATATGGGACGGGCGTTAAACACGGCTGTTCAACTTCTCTTGGAAGACCCCCACGGTAGGCACCACCCAATCGGCCGGTGTCCGGCGGTCGCGTCTGCATGGGTACTGTCGAAGACCCTTTCCAACATCGAAGATGGCTCTCTGGTCATCTCGGCGGTCAAACGGCGGTGCGACGCCTGGGCCACAGATTGATGCATGCATGTCCTGCGCATGTCCTGCGCGTGTCCTGCGCGTGTCTGCGGTGTTTCTGTTCACCTGGGCCCCCCGGGGCCAGTTAAGGTGTCTAATGAGAGCTCCTGAAAGAGGTGATTCGGGGTATCCATGGATACCACCCCTGGCACCGGGGGGGCTCTGGTATTTCTCCTGTCCGACTGTGTAGGAAAGACGACAGGACCATTGTAAAAGGTACACCGGCAGGGTGGATGGGTGATTGGTCAGGACCATTGAGAGTCTCGGAACGTTGGGACCATCTCTTAGATAGGACCCTCCGTTTTCGGGGTGCCCTGTCTGGAAGCCGAATTCGGCCGGATTCGTGTGGGGTAGTCGTTCGCCAGGACACCCCGAGGTTCGGAGGGTCCTGGTAGATTGGACATGGATGGAAATGATGACATGCTTTGCTTTCTTCGCATGAGAAAGGATCTTTGGGATCGATGACGGACACTCTGCACAGAAGGTCCCAGCCCTTTCGTTCAATTTGTCCTCCCTTGTGTTGTGTAATCTTCACCAAGCAACTTACTAACATATAGGAATCTAAGCCTCCAGGTGTTCCAACAAAAACTCCAGCGTTCCTCTTCTTAACAGTGCCACTTGAAGACCATCTGCCAAAACATGTTGAAGATACATGATGAACAATACTGCCAGGGTATTGTTTCTTAATGTTTCTCAATGCTCTTCTATGTTTAGCATGTTTAGCTTCGTGTGGGTCATGCTGAGAGCATGACCACACTCCCCGCATATCACCCGTCTGATTAGAGCCCTTCATACGTCCAAGAGCAGCGCGGCTAAAAGCCGCCCAAATCCCTCATGCTCCTGGAACCAGACGAAACAACACCAAAGAAGTCCAGCAGAGCCCCAACTCCCTCTCCAGTGTTGTTGGGGAGCAGAGCCCCAAAGGATGTTCCATGATGTTCACATCTTGGTCGAATCCCGAGTTCACCGATTTGGCACGGTGTCCAACACGACATGTCCCACTTCATCACCTCACCTCACCCGTCCACAGTCCTTGTTTCTTCGAACCTGCGTGTCCGAGATCTCGGCACAAACCGCCGAACGCCTCACACGCGCCGCGCTTACGGCCGAACGCCGAAGACGGCGCCTGAGGTCGGTGCTGCAGCACCTGAGGAACCAAAGCTTTTCGGCCTTCGAGAAGCTGGAGGAACCGGGAACGGGACGCTTTCACAGACGTCTGAGTCAGAGCGCTTCCACACGCGCGTCTGGTGTGTGTGAAATGCGGTTTCCCAGGTGTGTTTGTTGGCCGTTGTGTGTGTGTGTGCCAGGATCATCCAATGGGTGTCCAATACACTATATCCTACCCTACTGTTGGAAGTGCTAGGTAGGTAGGTGTGTGTGTGTGTGCAGTGTGGAGTTGTTGGGGTTCGCCCCTCTTTCAAAGCTCTCCGTGTCGGAGAGTGACGAAACAAAAGCGCGTTCGGCGAGAGACCGGCGTGGGTTTGGTGATGAGCAGTGGTTGGGTGCCGTTTGATGTGATGTTCGAGGAGGTCAAGGGACACACATGGTTTCAGCACCTGGTGGGATTTCCAAGACTTCATTAAGCTGAGCATGTCTCTTTTCAGTGATAAAGGGGGGAAAAACAAACTACCCAGACGCTCATGGGCCCTGCGTTCAGTAGGGGCCGTACCTGAATCTTTTGGAGGGGTCCGGACCCGAACCAATCCCTAGGGCCCTAGGGTTTGGTTCGGGACCGGGAAAGGGCGTCGTTCAACGACGGAGCGTCTGGGTATGAAATGACCCGTGACACCATCCCCTAGGCTTCAGTTCGACCATTAAAAGAACGGTTGAGCTGGTGGTGTAGTGTAAAAATCCTTAGTAAAACAGCTGGTTCTTTGGGATTCAGACCATTAAAACAATGGTTGTTTGAATCCTAGGTATATAGGGATTGGTGAGAACCTCAGACCCCATACCAGGACCTTCCACCAAGTCCGGTGGTTGAAAGGGCACCCCGGTCATCACCTCTTTACGGGGCTGTTGATCAACACCTCGACTGGAAGGCCCAGGGGGCATCCTTTCTCACACGTGACACCGGTCCCTGAGCTCGGTGTCCCGTGTCGATGTCGATGTCACGTCGGACGGTTCGTTCAGACAACTCAAGGTACCCCCTATAGGCTTCCTGGCCAACCAATTTAATAGGCTTTATGGAATCAACGTGCAGGATTTTACACTACAAAAACCAGGTCGTTCCCATTTTTTTAAATGGTCGAACGGAAGTCTAGGGTACCCATGACATTCCATGATCGATACGCTCAACTCAAGGCTAGTGAAGAAGCAATCAGCTCAAATCCAAATCCATATATAGATCATATAGGTCATGTGAGCCATGGCGAAGAGAATTTCAGCACAGAAGCCGAGTGGTGAAGTCATGGTTCTCGAAGTCACGCCTGAGACAACAGGCGAGGAGCTCAAGCAGCAAATCAAGCAAGGACAGCCCTGGGACGAGCTCACCCGGAGCACTACGAGTGTGGAGATCATTGTTGGAGACAATCACTTGCTGGCCAACGATGCAAAGGTATTGGAAGCTGGAATTGCTGAAGATACTGTTGTGAGTGTTGTCTTCAAACCAAACAAAGTGATTTGCTCCTCCAACAAAGATGCGATTGCCAGTCTTGGTGGTATCGTTGACCCAGAACTGCTGCTTGTTGTCGAAATTCCACACGATGAACCGCACATTCTTGAGAATGCTTTTGAAGGTTGCCGAACGTTGGCCAAAGTCACCATTCCGGACTCTGTGACTCGCATCGGCAAATGTGCCTTAGCTCGCTGCCGTTTGGTGAACTTGACCATCCCGAACTCAGTGATCCACATTGGGGATGGTGCCTTTGCGGGTTGCCACTCTTTGACAGACTTGACCATCCCGAACTCAATGTCCCACATCGGGGATTATGCCTTTGATGGGTGCGAGTCTTTGGTGAACTTGACCATCCCCAACTCAGTGACCCACATTGAAGAGGGCGCCTTTCAGGGTTGTGGCTCTTTGGTGAGCTTGACCTTTCCGGACTCCGTGACCCACATTGGGAATGGTGCCTTTTATGACTGCCATTCCTTGGCCAAATTAACCATCCCAGACTCTGTGACTCGCATTGGGGATGGTGCCTTTCAATTTTGCAGCTCTTTGGCAAGCTTGACCATCCCTGACTCAGTGACACACATCGGAGATCATGCCTTTGATGGCTGCCGATCTTTGCTGTTGACAGTGTCCATCTCTGGGAACAACTTCGAGATGCGAACAAGCTACAGGGGTGCAAAAATATCATCGCAAAAGAATGTCGCTGTCATGAATGCCAATACAGTTGGTTTCTGAAAGGCTGGGTTTGTCCACGGCGCCAGGCCTGCTAGGCCCCGTACAAGCGACCTGGTCGGCAGACGAGGAGCAGCTGGGGTGCGAAAGGGCAGGGTTGGTGCAATGGCTGTTAGGCGCAGAGCTTTGACCACATCGGGGACTGCGCAGCTCCGAACTTGGCCATCCCGGACTCTGTGACCCGGCGATGGTGCCGGACTGTGAGCTGCTATCCGCCACAGGTGCGGAGCAGGCGACATAATGTCGTTAGCCCCAAAAAGGTGCTGGGTATCCTGGTGTTGGGGTGATGGTTTTTGTATGTGTTTGTTCCCCGTTCATTGAAGCAACTCCGGCACGATGACGTGGCGCGAAAAGTGAAGCTGTTCGAAAGCGGAGTTTTTGGTTCTAATTACTTGCTCCTTGCATTCAACACACGAAAGATAGCATGCCAATGGTCAATCTGCCATTCGGAGTCCTTCTCCAGTCCTTCTTCCATGTCCTCCAATTCTTTCACCACCGGGCTTGTTCACCACCGGACCAGCCCAAAGCCGGCGTTTCTTCGACCGAACCGGGCAACCTCGACCGAAACAACGGCGCAACAACGGCGCTCGTCCCGGCGCAGGCGCTCTTGCGACGAGAAGAGGTCCTTTCGATCCAAGAGGCGCCGGAGCCGGTCGGGGGGGATTGGGATCCGGTCCTCGGGAAGACCCTTTTGAGAGGGTTTTGGGTGGTGGGAGAGTGTGCACATGGTCTGTCCAAAAGCTCGCAGTTTTCGCCCCAAAGCCACCGAAAAACCACGCTGGATCCCAGGCTGCTTTGTCATTTGGCTTGGAAGGGTCCATCTTCTGTCAGAGACCCTGTAGGTTGACTTCGTTCTATTGGGCGATGGAGCCACTCGGGCGCGCTCCGCACGAATGCGCTAGCCACTCGGGCGGAGCTCGGAGCTCGACGGTGGGCCCGAGGTGAAGAGGTTGGACCCAAATGGGCGAACCACCATTGTTCTTACTAATTAGCGGTTTACACCTGGAGCCCCAAACAACCAGAAAGAAATTGATGTTTCCCCAGTCCCAACCATTTCCTATGTAAAGGATTGCCATATTGGAACAACCATTTGTTTCTGGTTGTTTGGGGTTCCAGGCACGACAAAACCAAATCGTTCCCATCTGAAAAATGGTCGACTTGACTTCCAGGGAGAAGAAAAAGACAGAATTAAGTTGTCTTCCCGACCCTTCCAGGGGCCCCACATGGTATCAAATCACCTGATGTTCTCGAGCAAAACGCCTCCAGGTCAATTGGTCTGTGGAACACGTCATGGGACACGTCATAACACGTCGATCATGGGACACCTTTTCGTGCCGCTGACCATGTTTGAACGGTCTGACCCTTTCTGACCTCTTTGACCCAGAAGTCCGCTTGGTCCGTCGAGTCGTGTTTTTGCACGCCAATGCTACGCGCAATGCTATGTGCGTGGCCTGTGGAGACAGCAGCAAATGGATTCGTCATGTTGGTTTAAAGAAAGTGGTTCACCTTCTTTGCCTTCAGCAGCAGAATGGATGCAGAATGGGTTGATGTGTTCTTCGATTCAATCTTCCTTGCAAAAGCGGGCTCCTCAGTGACTCAACCCCAAAAAGAGCGTACTCCTGGCTCACATCCCTCCTGGCACAGACCCTCCTGGCACACAGTGTGCTTTGAAAACCGGCTGTCCGATGAACGGCTCCGATGAACGGCAACATCATCCTCATCCTCATCCAGTCGTGAGACCACGGGTTTTGTGGGTGAGACAGTGAGACCTATGGGTGAGACAGACCCATGTTCTTATGGGATATATTCAGGGATGGTCTGTCTTGTTTGTCTCCTATATATGCCTATATTTGATGTTCATGTTCACTGTCTTCCTCATCGCGTTCATCCTTGTCTAGCTGTTTTGGCCCAAGGAAAGAATCCTTCACAGACACTTAGTGCACTCGCAATCCGCACGATGGGCTCTCATTTGCATGGCGTTCTCGCTGCTATTTTGGCCACGGCCTTCGGGGCGGTGAACCTGATGATCAGCAAGATGATGCCAAGTTGCAACTGAAACACTCAGTGGTGATCATTTGGTATACCTGTTTGTTAACAGACAGACTGCAAGGGAGAGAGGACAACGCATGAGACATGTTCAGCTATTTTCCCTTGGAGGTGTCTATCCTTTGCGCTCTCCTTCGTCTCCTCTTCAGGATCCAAAATCGTTTCACCCCAGTGCCACATGTTGTTTGGACATGGAGGCCACTGAAGTATTTGGGATCCACCCAGTGTTTTCGAAGGATAGATTCACGCGACGTCCGGTGGATCACCAATGCAGGACCGTCCGGTTTCGGTCGGACACCCCTGTGGGTCGGTAACATGAAGCATCCTGAGCCTCCTAGGCATGGTATGGCTGCCAGCAGAGGTGGGTCAGAACCCGAACTAGACTATCCGAACGTTCGGTACCCCAGGTAGTTCCGGGTCCAAACGTGACCTGGTCACGAAAACCACCTCTGGTTCCTGGGCTTGGACCAGCAACCGACGTGGTGTTTGACTGGGACCCGAAGCACACACTGGGGACAGAACGGGTGTGCTTTCGGGTCCGAACGGGGAACGGGCGCCGGTTGTGGGGTCTTTCGATCATCCAACACCCAAACAGGATGCTCCTGGTACCAAACCGGACGTCAGCTCCTTGTACCAAGAGAGGTGACGAACAGCCGTGTTTAGGTCGCCCATCCCATAGTGTATACCAGAGAGGATCCCAGGGTCTGAACGTGAAGCGGTCTCTCAAAACCTCTCCTTGGTAGTTCTCTCTTTCGATCGCCACCAGTGACCGTCCGGTCGCCCCAGAGCCTCTCAGGATGCGAGGGTGGGATTGGCCCTACTTCCTCCTGGCCGGAGGAGCTGCTACTTGGGCATGAAGAGGAGAGGTGGCGTTATTCCACGTAATTTTGGGAAGTGGCATTATCTGGGATTGCGGATTTTGAAGACATGAATGATTGGTTGCTTATATAAAAGCATGCAACATGACGAGAGTATACGAGAGTTCTTTGAAGAGAATCTGTTTAAACTCAGTCCACTAGCAGGAAATAATCCTTTTTCTTTAGCAGCATGAAGTTGGTTGGTTAATGTTGTCTTGTAGACAATCAGGGAATACTCCCCTTTAAACAATGTCGCCCCACATTGTTGCAGGGCGGCAGCCTAGTCTTCAGCTTGGTTTTGCTCAGGGTGCTGTGTTTTTCCCTCAAAAACTGGTAAACGTGTAAAACAACAAGTTCATAAATACCGTACATCATTCCAGACACTGCATGTATGCCATACATGCTTACATTGGGGTGGTGCCAGGGAGGTCAATGGGGCGGCAGTCCTATGGCAGTCCCAGACGGGTCGTGTTTGGGCATTGTCTTATTGTTCTTTCTGTTCTTTATTTATGCCCGGTTCATCCAAGCTCCCAGCTCCCTCTGGTGCGGGCCCGTCTTCCTGGTGCCGTTGGTTCCACGGTAGAGCAGACGACACTTCGATGGGTTTCTTAACCCAGAACACGACCTGTAGACGGGACTGCCAGTCCGTTCTGCCGCCCCAGAGTCTGACCCCGCCAGTCAACCACACCACCCCTGGCCGGGCCGTGAAATGAAGGCAGTCCGAATCGGCAGTCCCATGTGCTGGTCGTGTCTGCATACGGAGTAGCTGCGTAGCTCCAGATGTCGATATCGACCCCTTGGAACCAGGTCGAGACCCTGAGATGGTCTGAATTGGGAGCACTGCGGAGCATCATGGAGCAGGTTGTTTTGCTTTTAGTACATGGGTGGAAGATGGACGTGAAGTGAAGTTCTTTTTGTCAAGCGCTTCCAAGCTGGGACCCGAGGCGCTTTTGATCAACCTCCCCTTGGTCCTCTTAGCCTGGCGAGAAGCGCTGGAACTGCCACGGCGCGAAGTGAAATGGGCGCCCTCCCTGCGAGACATGTTTGATGTCGACTCGCCTCGTCGATGTTTGGGTCGAGGGCTGTCTGGGCGGGATAGGTGGGAGACGTTTTCGAAAAAAGGGAGTGGTGCTTTGATTGGCGTTCTGTATTCCCTGGAAGTCCAAAGACTGTACTTTCCCTTAGTGAAGTAAAGGAAAGTGCCTTTCCGATCCCCTAGTCAGACCATTCTTTGTATATACTTTGACTTGCAGGCTATTTGTTTAGGAGTTTTTTGGAGCAGCTGAACCGCTCCTCCTATAAGGCTTTCTGCAGGGTGATGTAGGACACACACTGAGTTCTTGTTCATCCTTTGTGACGGGAGACGGGTTCGCCAGGTCTCCAATCCTGAAGCCAAGTTCGACACACGAGTTAGCTCAGTTCGTTAGCTCAGTTCCCTGGTCCAAAAGTTCCAACTAAACCCTGGGAGTCAAAGACTATAAAAGGAATGGTCTTTAGGGGAACTGAAAGGGAACTTCCTTTACTCCAGCCAGTCAAAATATAGGCTTTGGACTTCTAGGGTAAAGCTGAGAATAGGGCCTGGGATCCGTTTTCGTACCGAACCTCAGCTTCGGTACGACTGGACGACGCTGGCACCGTCTCATGTCTCACCGTACCTGAGATGGTACCAACAGAGGTTGAAGGACCCGAACTAGCCTATCCCAGTTCGGTACCCCAGTAAGGTCCTATTGGGGTCACGTTCCACCTCTGGTACGACCCAAATCCGGTCCTTCTCCACACAGTGTGATCGCGAACCCCGGCGTGACTCCGAAGAACTGGGAGACCGGGGAGACCGTTGCCACAACCTGGAAACCAGGGTGATGTTCTCCTGTTCTCCGATCAGCATGACCTCACGGAGAACTGAAGTGGTTGACCACAAATCCAAAGACGAAGAAACGACGCGAAACGACGAATGATGGAAAGGTGCTTTTGCGTGGCCTCTTCGGGTGCTCCAAGAACGCGCTGAGCAATTGCGCTGTCCTGGCGGGTGCGCAGGTGGGTTCAGTGGGCCGCTCGCAGATGTCGGTGCTGAGAATCGGGTCGTTCGGGTTGTCCCTGTGAGGTGGTGGTGGACTGTGAGGATGAGAGGATGCTTTGGAAGTCTAGCGATATATATGGCACAGTTATGGGAGCAGCCCTCTTAACAGCATCTAAGTACCGCATTGATGGGATCAGTTTACTGTTTACATGCATCATCATGTCATCATGCATCCAAGTTGTGGGCACCCTTTTTGGAAAAATTGTTGTAAAGCATGCCCAGAAGGTTGGAACCAAACCTTTGTGGTTTCATTTGCACATACTACTAGTAGGAGGTCATACAGGATTTCCACCCGGTCCATAGGGCCCCCAAAGGCCCACAAGGGTTGATAAGGACACTGGTCAGGAACCAGTAGGCTTTAGAATTTACATCACCAAAAAGCGCTCATATGTCCTGAAAAGTGTACATATCCTCAATTAACGCTCAAACTTCCAATAAGTGCTCCAAACCATGGTTGCCAGAAATAAGTGCTACAAAGGATGCTTCAGGAATTCATGTTTTTGTTCTTTTTCGTAAATCCGGTGGTTCCTGGACGGCAAATCCAAGGTGTGCACCGCCTCGAGCATGGTGTGTGGGCACCCTCGGCATGGCGTTCTCGAAAGACGACCGAACGACCCCTGAGTCGAGTCAGTATGTTTTCAGTGGATATGCTGAGATCATGGCAGCCAACAATTGTGAGAGGGGTTGTTTTGACAGCACTTTGTTTGGCATCCACGAAGTATGTCTGTTTGTGCACGACCAAGATTCCCCAGACCAAGGGTACCAGCCTGCACGTGAACCTCATTACAGGTTCTATTACAGGTTTCTTGTGTGCTCTCCATTTGCAGCCCAGCACGTGCACAAAATCTTCGTTTCTCTGGGCTGTGAGCAGTGAGCACTGCTCGAAAATGGTCAAGCATCTATAGCTGTCGTCTTCACATCTACCTGTGGATCATTCTGGTGCTTTCAGGTATTTGCTTGACATCTTCGTGTTTCGCAAGACGCCTGAGACCGTGACTTGGGTGTGCGGGAGTGATGGCTCGTCCAGCGGCTCGTCCCTGCCGCTCGATGTGCGTCGTGACTTGGGGGTTCGTATGGATCAACGTGGACCTCCATGAGGGTCCGGAACCCTGACCTCGTAGGGTAGGGATCAGGTTCAAAGGCAGACGTGGCCTGCGTTTGGGAAACACGGGTTTCCTCTGAACGTACTGCTGTGGGTGCCTTGTCTCACACCTAGGATCGCTGAGGGATGGACCTGGAGCAGCTAGTTGCCGCCCACCGAGGGGTGGGTGATAGAAGCCCCAGTTGGACCACAAGGCGCCTGGGAGCACCTTTCTTTACCTGGATCTTCCAACGATGCAAACTCTTTACCCTACACCTCCAGTCGTACCTCCTCAGAAGGTATTTGAACCCTCCTGGCACCCACCCCAAACACCTTCTCAGAAGGTACTTGGAGGCCTAGGGTTACTGAACATGGCGCCACGTAGTGTGGATGAAGTTCGGCGGACCTGATGAACGCTACGTTGGAAGATCCAGGTAAAGGCCGAAAGGCCAGAGGATCGAGTTTTGGGGTAAAGGTTTGATGATCTTTTGATGTCTTCGGGAGTTTTCTCTTCGTGTTTTTCGGAGGTTTCTCGGGAGCACCGGAGAAAACTGCATCTCCCCCCCCTACCGTGCTTGGACTCCAGCGTGTTGTGCCGATCAGAAAATGATGAGGGCGTGAAGGTAGCAGCACCTGGGAGGTCCTGCGGTGCCGTGGGTGAAGGGACCTGAGGAACCGGTGGATTGATGAGGAATCCCTAGGCTTCCTGGCCCACCATTAATTTAATAGGCTGAATCCTGAATCAACTAAGGGTTTTACACTACAAAAACTAGGTGAACCATTGTTTTAATGGTCGAACGGAAGTCTAGGGGAATGGTTGCTTCCCTTGTCCAGGGGATCCAGGCAGGCAGTTCCCACGAGAGCTCGCTGGAAGGTAACCAGTGGTTCCAGTTCGACTCAAACCATAGACTGAACGAAGGCCCCTGGTTCCTTAGTACTCGTGGTTTGCCCGGGATCCACTGGGTTGAAGAAGAGAACCACTACCACCCAAAGCAATTCGATGGTCTTAAGACAATTCCCTGTTCTAAGAACATGTGATGAAATCTGTGCACAGAGTTTGGGTCATGTGAATCCGACCCCCCCAAAAGCACAGCAACCAAAACAACATCCACAAATATGGCCAATCTGAAGGCGAAGGATCAAAACTAGCTGGCTAAGGTCATGCATAGGCACTGCCACTGTTTCTACCGCAGTTGCAGTCGCAGTTGCCTTGAAGGGCCAGGCTGGGTTGAAGATGCTGGCCCCACCGAACCCAGGTAACCCTGCTGGGCGCTGGGCTGATGCTGGCCGTCACGATCATGGCCAAGGGCAGCGCGCCCGGCAGCGCTGCCCATCGTCGACCCAAGGGTGGCCTCGCTGTCCAGTGTGTTGGCAGCGACTTGGAGATGATGTCGGGGGGAAGAGATGTCTCAGACTGACTGGTGCGACGGGTGCTTAGCAGGGTGGCTGAGGGTGGCTGGATCCAAAGGAATCTCTATTGGGGCGAAACTTCCCTTATTCCCTACTAAGCATCAGTCAGCAGACATGGCAGGATACAAAAGGACAATTCGTGTAACAGCAGAAGACGAAACAGCGATGGCTTGACGAAACAAGAGGTGTCTAGAGTCTAGCGTCTTGACGTTGCTGTTCAAGGTCGGTGAGCCCTGACCATCCCTCTAAACCTTCAACAGAAGCCTCTCCCCTCTCCCCAAGGCCTCCGGCAGCTTGGCCAGCTTCGTGGCCTCCGAGTTCGCCACGGTGGAAACCACGGAGTCGGCCGGCTCCGCCGCACGACCCAGGCCCTCCGTGCGGATGGCGGGTCGTCCATGGGCGGTCCGTTCGAAGATGGAGGCGAACGAAGGATGGACGGGATGGAGACATGTCATGGACGAACGACCACCCCAATGGGCTGGCATTCTTGTAGTTTTACTTAAGGATGTTACACTTTCCCAGGTTTTCTTTTCATGGGACTGGAATATATGCCGAGAAACGGCCAGGGGTGGTGCCAGGGGGGTCTTTCTGGGGCGGCAGTCTGGACTGGCAGTCCCATGGAGCGGCTGGGAGAAGGATGGTTCAGACTAGAAGTCGGTTGGTTCAGACTACAAGGGAAGATGAAGAGGAGTCTGATGGAGACTGAACCACTTGTCATCCTGGTAGTCATCTTCCCTTGTAATATCTTGTAATGTAGACCTGTAGACTCTTGCTTAATAAACCCACCCAGTTGAATTGGGAATCCTCTTCATATGGGGGTCTTATTAATCAAGAGTCTATACAGTCTACATTCTAATGGATCCACTGGGAGGCCGGGGGGGCAGTTGTCTTTCCCCCGCGTTCGTGATCGGCCTTGACCGGGGGCAGTGCAGTTCCGGTTCGCTGTAGAGCCGCTGGTGTTCACAAGAACATCATGGCCTGTTCCTGCAACTGAACCATTCACTGCTACCCCTGGTTGAGTGGAAGAATTATACACCCAAAGATGGTGAGATAGATGTTTGTTGCATGAAGATGAGACCCACCATCTTTCTGTCGAAGAATCAGACCTCGAGCTCCCTTGCTTCGGACGTCCCAACGAGTTGCTGTCGATCTTCAGTCCCAACACTGGTTCGGTCCAGGAAAATGGCTCACAATAGACTACCCCGTTTCTCAAGTGGTGGAATGACGAGTACCCGGTGGGGTAGGGAAAAAGGGAGCTCAAAACAAGTCTTGGGAAACCAAGGACCGGCCCGGGACGGCTATAGAGCACCGTCCCAGACAGGTCGTGTTTGGGGTATTGGATGCAGAAACGCCACGCGCGGTGGAACTGTGGCTCGAAGAGCTCTCCATGATGGTTGCGTTGGAAGAAGATCGTTTCGTCAGATTGCTTGGTTGGAACATAGTGGAAGCCTCCCACCTGGGTAGTTGAAGCGGGACGATCCCACTGACTGTGGTTTTGGTTTTCCCAATGGACCAAAGCCTAGGCTTCTCAGTGCTCTTTGTAGTACTTTTGGGGGAAGGCCTTCTGAGAAAGGTATACTCTTAGGAACGGCTTGAATCACAAACCGGTCAGGATTCTTCATCGTTGCAGGCAGCGTCTTCCTGCTGCAGTGCTGGGTCTTCCTGCTGCGGCCTCCGCATGAAGAGCTCCTGGACATGAAGACTAGAGACCTACCCTAAGAATCCTTGGGCTCTCCATGGGAGGGGTCGGACCCTCCATAGCAAGGGTCTGGACCCTCAAAACTCTATGTATTTGAGGGCCCGGATTCTCAGGGTAAGATCTTCCAACTATGCAAAATGTTTGACGAACTTGGCTGGAATGATGGATGAAGTTCGGCAGAATGTTTGCACTTTTGGAAGATCTAGCTATACGCTCCAATCAATTACTGTGGAAACTACTAGGATCCTGCGAAGGTGTCCCAGAAAATCATGGTCCTGCAAGGGTCATGACTCTCCAAAACGATATTCAGTCAACACACAATATATCCCAGACACAACTAATGGGACTGGCATATATGCCGCCCCATTGGCCCCCTGGCACCACCCGTGGCCTTGAAAGAAGGCAGTCCGAATCGGCAGTCCTGCTGGTCATGTCTGGGAATAGTTCTTCAGTCTTCAGTGAATCCGAAGTCCAGTTCGATTATTTCCGGCACCACCCGGTCGTGTTCAGTGTCAGTTCCTTTTCACTCACTCGGTTTTACTGAGTCATCGTCAGACCCGTTTGTTCCAACTGGTCTTTCCTGGACCGAAACCCGGGGAATCCAACCAACCAACCCCCTAGAAGTCCAAAGACTATATTTTGACCAGCTGAAGTAAAGGATGTTCCCTTTCAGTTCCCCTAGTCAGACCATTCTTTTTATAGTCTTTGACTCCCAGGGAACCAATACCTCAGGACCTTGAGCTCCAGCAATCAAGACTTTCGACTCAGGGGCCCTGAGCTGAGACCAGCTTCGGTTCTTCCGGACTCTGAGCCTTTGGTGGACGGTGAAGGCCTCAGCCGCCCGGCATCGGGGTCGGTTTGGGGATGGTGTTTGGGACCTCACCGTATCTCCCACCCAGTGCATCCCAGGCGGAGGATGTCCTCATGGCGTGGCGTGGTGGGGACGCAACCGTAGCGTGGTGAATCACGGTGAATCACGGTGAATCCGAGTGTAGAGATGGTCCCTTCAATGCAAGGGCATCCGTGATCTCACCTACTTGAACATGTACAGATAGCCAGAAAGCAGTTGTATAGAAAGTCGTGGCTGTTCTCCTGGGTGGGAATCCACGACTATACTCCCTTTGCCTACGATGTAATTCCACAAGGATCTCCAGCTTTTGTGAACCAATCTCCGTCCATTGCTGCAGCTATGCCAGGGAGTGTTTTTGGATTCTTTCCGTGGGGCAGAGCTCAAGCGCTTGCGCGCTTTCTCTCAAGCCAGGGCTTGGAGCTTTGCGCTGCCGCAGTCCCTAAGCAAGGGCTTTCGGGGCTTCGTTTTAAAAGCAGATTCCGCTCTCAAGGCCGATCGACAGAACACGGGTTTTTCACTGAACACCTGGACACGTGGACGGTCAAACTGCGAGCAGGGGGGGGGTGTCGAACTGCGGTCTGTCCAGGCGCTGTCGGTCTCATGCGGTGCTGACTCTGACCGCGGCAAGAGGTACCAGTTGCTGGAAAGCAGCAGGTCACCTGGTCAAACGTCTTTGGCAGAACTTTGCTGGGAAGTTCTGACGTACCAAGTGTTTTTGCAAGATACCATGTCTTTGTGAAGGATCGCATTCCCAAACATCCCAACGAGTTGCTGCCTTGCACACCACGTGCCCATGGACGTGCAATCAGACACCAAGCTGGCAATGGTCTAGAGAACATCTTGGTGGAGATTTCCTTGGTGCCTCCGGACTTACCTAAGGGGCTAAGTTCGTGTGCTGTGTGCTGGTTTAAATTATTCTGACCTATCCAAAAAAAGACATACTGCACATGGATCGAATTACTCCCTCTCCGCCACCACCGGGAGCTGCCGGCCCTTTCTTCACCTTCTCCTGCCAGGCGAGTCCAGAGCTGTGCCTTGAGATGAGCGGAAGCCACTCGGATCGGATCAGAACCGGTCGGTGATGCAGTGACTAGGGCGGGCGTTCGTTGAGTGACTCTCCGAGTGAAAACGAACGAGTCGATGGAACATGGTCTTCCGAAATGGTCGGGCCATCCACGTACAACCATCGATGATAGTTGCAGGGAGTGTGATCATTGTTTGACCGGGGTTCTTTTTCTTTGTTTCTACTAGCCATCCAACAGAGGGTGAAGGACCCTATAGACTATCCTAGTTCGGTACCCCAGGTGACGGGTCCGAACGTGACCTGGTTGGTCACTCTCCACCTCTGTTGGATGGCCTCCAACCCAATAGCGATGGCCCACCCCATGTTGGGTCTAGCTCGAGCGTCCGGAAACCGCGCATCTGGCCCCCTCACCGCCCCGGTCGTCGCATCTGGCCCACTGACGGCGTTGGACCAACACGACGGGTGCGTTGGAATTCTTTCAAATGTGCGATCAAAAACTTCCACCAGCAGCACTGGCACCATCAAACGAAGAGTTTATGCCGGGCCCCCCCCATCTTCCATGTTTTTCCACATCTTTCACTGGCCCCATCTTCCATGTCTTTCACATCTCCACCTGTTCGGGAAGACCTGTCGACTTGGGCTTTGGCCGTCGACCGAAGCGACCGGAGCGTGGCAGACCGCGGAGCGTGGCGACCCGACCCCGACCGTTCCGTTCGAGCGGATCGGGGTTCATTGGGTGGAAGAAGCGGATTCCCCACATATAGACGTGGTGAGGTTGGAATATGTTGGAATTGGTGTGAAGAAATCCTATTAACGCAGGGTTGCACATGTTACTATAGAAATTGGATGGTTGGTTGGTGTGTTCATGAATGTTCGAACGCTCGTCGAGCATCTCGGCGATGACAAGCTCTATGGCCTGGACCATCCAGTCGGGGTGCCCTGTTTGGAAGCCTTTTTCGTGTGGGGTATGCCAGCCACCCCGACAGGATGCTGAGACACATGGGTTGCTGAGAAAAAGACACTCAAGCGCTGCTGAGCCTGAAACAGGTCGTCCTCTCAGGTGCCATTTTGAGGTCCACCAACAAGCAATTAGCTCAACCCTAGACTTCCAACCACTATTAAATTACTAGGCTTTACCAAACCAACTAAGGAGTTTACACTACAAAGACCAGTTCAACAAGTTTTTAATTGTCTTGGAAGTCCAGTTCAATAATCCAAATCCGCAATGAGCCATGGCAGCTAGCATGGCAGTGAACATTTCAGCCCTACAGTCGAATGGTGAAGTCTTGGTCCTTGAAGTCATGCCAGAGATGACAGGCTACGAGCTGAAGCAGCAAATCAAGCAAGGACAGCCGAGCTGGGACAAGATCACTCGCAGCACAACGGGTGTGGAGATCATTTTCGGAGACAACCAATTGCTGGCCAATGATGAAAAGGTATTGGACGCTGGAATTGCTGAAGATACTGTCGTGAGTGTTGTCTTCAAACCAAACAAAGTAATATGCTCCAAGAAAGATGCGTTTGCCCGCCATGGCAACATCGTTGACTGGGGACTGTTGCTTGTGGTCGAAATTCCAGACACTGAAACACAGATTTGTGAATGCGCTTTTGACAGTTGCCACACATTGGCCAAGTTGATCATCCCGGACTCTGTGACCCACATTGGGAATTGCGCCTTTCAAAACTGCACCTCTTTGGCAAATTTGATCATCCCAGACTCAGTGACCTACATCGGGGACAGTGCCTTTTGGAATTGCTGCTCTTTGTCAAGCCTGACCATCCCGGACTCGGTGACCCACATTGGGAATCATGCCTTTGGGGGTTGCAATGCTTTGGCGAACTTGACCATCCCGGACTCGGTGACCCACATTGGAAGTAGTGCTTTTTGGAATTGCCTCTCATTGGCAGAGTTGACCATTCCAAACTCAGTAACCCACATTGAGGACGGTGCCTTTCTTGGTTGCAGCACCTCAACCTTGACCATCCCGGACTCCGTGACCTACATTGGGGACGCTGCCTTTCTGGGTTGCAGGTCTTTGGCAAACTTGACCATCCCAAACTCAGTGACCCACATTGGGAACCAGGCCTTTGAGGATTGCAAGTGTTTGGTGAACTTG